CAGGCGCCGGACGTGCATCGTGTCCGGGAAATGAAGCAAGCGGATGCTCCACTCTCGAGTGACGTAAAAGGACGAGTCAGTTCGTCAGACACGGTTTTCGTAGGCTCCCGATGAAGGGTGCACCAGTTTATTCGCATGTTCTTGGACTTGACAGTGAAATTCTTGCGGAGGATGGCAGGGAAGTGCTTCTCGAGGAATATGATGCGCGCCGTGCAAGTGTTTTTCCAGCCCGTGGTGATAGCTTGATTTTTGTTTAAGCCCTAACGCGCGATGCAAAGTGAAGAATTCTGGACGTGCGCTTCGTTTCCCTCGAGCGCCGCGAATTTCTCGGGCCTCGTCGGTGCGAACCAGGGCTTGATCGCCGCGACCAGTGCTGCTCAGCCGCCAGTAGTCGCCGTACCTGGCGAGGAGGGGGTCCAGCGGCAGCTCGCCGCGGTTCACCGTGCCCTTGTCGACGATCATCAAATCGAGCTCGTCATCATGTCCTCGGGCTTTGCCATGGCCTCCTCGACGAGGATGTGGTGAGTGAAGAGGATTCTGACCTCCCGCCCGATGAGCTTCAGGCGCTTGCCGATGATGGCCGTAAGCTGCGCGCCTGACACTTTGTACGCGGAGCAGTGCCGCGCCGCGTCTCCGAGCGTCACCTCGCCGACGCTGGCGGCGTACGTCAGCCGGTCGCCAAAGACCAGCGCCGCGGGGTCGAGCGACACCTTCAGCGGCTTCATGTAGTTCTCGATGAGCTCGCCCATGAGCCCCGCGGCGCCCGCCTCCGCATTGCGCACGCGCTCGTGGTAGTCCGAGATGTCGGCCAGCGCGTACTCGATGCGCCGCGCGACCTGTCATCGCTCGATTCGATGGCCCGACGGGCTGCGTGAACGCGCATTCATTGGATTCATAATATAATTGAATTGTTAAGTTGAAGAAATTCTATAAGTTTCCGCGGACCGCGGGGAGCGAGGCGAGGCGAAGCGCAGAGAGCAGCCTCGTCACGCCCGTGCCGTCCTGCGACTCGAGCCGCACGGAAGGCGACGACCGTGTCGCGTGCGCCCTTGGCGCACAAGGACAGGCCCATGTGGGCGGGGTCGTCGACGCACGCGAGTGGCGGAATGAAAGGAAAAATGTCGAGGCCGACGCGGCCCGGGTACTCCGCCTGGAAGGCGGAGTAGAAGCGCGACTTCTCGAACGGCACGTGCCCGTGTCCGCCTCCCAGTCCGCGAAGAACGAGCTGTCGGCCTTGAGCTTGAGCGTGTCCGAGTTCGTAGTTCGGCCGTTCGGCGGCGGGGTCGTCTCCGTCGTGGTTCTCAGCGCCGTTGTAGCCGCAGACTTGGCGGCAAGCCACCTTGGAGCCCTTGGCGCCCCGGCTCCAGAGCTGGTCCGCGACGAGCGCCATTTTGTGATCGACGTCGTGCCGTCCGTCGACGAGTTTCACGCCCGCACGGCCTGCGGGGGTCGCGCGGTCGACGCGCGGTCGGGCGACTTCGAGGGGTACTCACACGCGTTGCAGACCGATTCCCCGGGGCAATTGAACTGGGGGACGTCCTTGCAGAGATTGGCCATCGGCTTGGTCGCCTCGCTCAACCAGGGGCAACCTCTACACAGCTAAGATCATTGAAGATTTGCTGCGTGAAGGAGGGCCTGCCGCGTGTCGACGACGATGGTGTGCTGGATGATGCTGGCCTTTGGGGCCCAGCGCGCCGTCGATTCGTTCAAAGGCGCCGTCGAGAACTTGCAATTCGAGCTTCGGGCCGCCCGGCTGCGGCGCCTCGATGGGGGGCGTGCGGACGTCTCCGACGGAGAAGGTGGAGTTCGAGCTGGACATCAGGGATGCGATCGGCTTCCACCTCGTCCTCAAGCGCAAACACTGGACGGCGCGGATGATGGTCGGGAACCGTGTGGAAATCAAATTTAGAACTCAGGGGGGGCACGAGTGTTTTTTGTGACACCGTCGATGAAGCCGCTGACATCGCAAAACCTGTTATAAATAAAGCCTCGAAAATATGGGCTGACAAATCCCCATAGGATTCTAAAAACCGAGGCTCTGCGAGGCCATAATTTTTGTGAAATCCAGATCGGCTTCCACGAACCCAGACTCCTTGATTATCAGTTAGACGCCCTCTATCCACCGCACTAGGCCGCCCGGCCGCCAAATTCGACGATCTGCAATCGGCCGATTTTCATTGTCCCCCCCTACTTGTAGGTCTTCCCCAGCTAGAGGCGGCGAGGCGACGCACCCGAGCCCCTCGTATCCCCCGATGCCGCTCACACCGCCATAGCTGCTTCCCATCCGGCGACGAGCCTTCGACGCCTCCATCAGTGTGCGAAACAAAGTCGCTCCAACAATTACCTGGTACTTATATCTTCAACAAAAAAGTAAACATTGCACATCAACTTGAAGATATGCTGCACGCTTGTCGACCCGAACCAGCGACCCGCGCTCTCAAACTTCCTTGATTAATACGTTTAGCGCGCAATCTTGGTTTGTTATCTTCGGCGTGGCCATATTCGCCAATCTTGCCTCTGGCCCCGCGGCTTGGCCGCGCGCGCGGTCGATTTTCAGGAGGTGTAGTACACGTCCCGCCCGCCGCCGGCGGGAAACAATAATTAAATATTAATTATTTAATTCGAGTGGGCGCGCCTAGGCGTACGTTGTTTCGCACACTGGCCTCCATACGTCTCCATGCGGGGCCCGTAAAGCCCTCTAAATCTTAGGTGATGTTTGGTGTGGGGTTTGAGGCTTACGCCGGCGAGCGAGGAGCGGCGAGCCGCAA